TGTATTTTTGAAAATTGTTTGAAGTTTTTAAAACAATTTTTTTACATGTTTTGAACATAAAAAATATGTGAATTAACATTTCAATATCTTTGTATTCACGCATTGAATTTTTCTTTATTTTAATCATAAAATGAAAGAAATAACTGTTCTGTCGGTGAAGCTAACAAAGCCAACGCACGTTTCTGGTTCCGATGGCGAAGTCCGCCGCCAGCTGATGAAAAGTCGTCCGCATCAAAACGTGACGGCACATTAGCGTCTTTTAATAGCGCGCCTGACGGACTCCACTGATCGTCATGACATGGCTATTAAAAGACAGCTCGCCCCGTCGTCTTCTCTCCAACTTGAAGGACATGACGCACGCGCGCTTTTGATCAGCGCAATGATTTCCAATCAGGGCCACTTAAGAAAAAAAAAAAAATTCCATCAAATAGCCGCCATTCTCTGGGGAACGGAAACGCTGTCGAGACGACGCGCTCGTCAAGAGCAGCTTTCATCCGCCGCCCGCCGCTGTTTTGTTCGACACGTGTGTCATAAAAGCAAATGAATGGCCATTTTGTCCTCGTTAATGGCGGGAATTAGCTCTTCTTTTCCCGCCTTGCTCGGGTGGAGGACTCATTTTCATGAGTTATGGTTTGGCGTTGGAATTCCCCGACGTGAGCGATTTGGGGTGACCGGTTCGCTGGTTAATGAAAGAAGAATCGAGGCACATAAACCTGTCAATCACATCAGCTTTTAAAAATACATTTAAAAAAATTTAAAACAAAAGAAATATTTGGGGATCATTTCATTTCAGTGTATTTTAAAAACCTGTTTTTATACGTGCTTTTAAAAAGAAATTTCTCAGTCAAGAAAATTGAGAATTTTAAAAAATATTCAGAAAATTTTGAAATTAATAATTGTATTGTCTACAGGTTCAAATGTAGTAATTTATAAAACTATTTTTTCCTTTGTATTTTAATAATATTCCCTAATTTAAAAAAAACAATATTTAAGTATTTGTATTTTTGAAAGAAAACCTTTTTCCTCCACAAAATTTTTTTTTGCTCCTATTTTCAAAGAAGAAATGTGAAAAATTCAGTTCTGGATATCTTGAAAGAAAACATTCCAATAAAAGTTTTCCCCTCGCATTCGGAAGCTAGTCTGCTGTTTTCACTCGCTACGAATGGACTTAGCTTGCGCGTTGCCTTTTGGAGTTTTGGCGCCATCTCTGCCAGTCGTCTTTGCGACGCTCCATCGCCCCGTATAACTTGATTTGCTTTGTCACCAAAGCAAATTCTCCGGTGAAAGTGACACTTTGCCGTGACGAGCATCTGTTCCTTCCATCTGCGGGGCCTGCCAATTCCCATAAATATTCACGCATTTTACGGGCGGGCGGCGCTCGGCGAGGAGCAAGTCCGAGCCGACATACGCCCGGTGACGGCTCCGCTAATTCGGAACCGCCTCTCCCTGTCGTCGCCTGTTCGGCCCCTCTCCTGACTTTATCGCTTGCCTCCCACTTCATTCCCAAGCCTGAGTGAGCGTCTGCATGAATAATTCAGCCATGTTGCGTGCGGGATAATAACTGCAAATTGGACGCGAGCTGGTGTATTGACGCTGCGACGCTTAAGAGCGCTTTATCCCCATTTAAGTCAAGTGACACTTTGCGGCGCCAAATCACCACCTCTGTTGACGGACGCTCACATCAACCTTGGAGAAGGAAAAAAAAAAAAAGTGATAGCTGTCAATCCAAGACCTCCGTGCATGACATCAGTTTTGTCCTGACGTTGCTTTTAAATGTCTTGAACGGTTTTGTTTGTAAATGCTTCTAAATGTGTGTGACGTGAGGCACATTGACCTTTTCCAATGATGGTGGTCGTAGAAGTAGTCGTAGCAATAGCGGGAGCTGTCGTAGAAGTCGTAGTATCATCTGAAGTGATAGTGGTGATAGTGGTCGACAAAATGGTAACAGCAATGGTAGTAACGGTATCAGTAGTAGCAACAATGGTGGTGGTTGCAGCAGCAGCAGTCGAGAAAAAGCCGTCGAGTGTCACAGCGGCGGTACTGAGAGTGCATGTGCAGTGCATGTTGAACGCCTTCAAAGTGTCAAATAAGCACATTGGGAAAGAAGCCGCTTCTTTTTTTTTTTTTTTGAAACATTTTAATTTTCTCCCGATGATGATGATAACGAAGCTATTAGTATTTGCGGCGCCATTTGGCGGGCCGCATTACGGGAGGTGGCGACCTCTCGCAGGCGCACAGAGATTAACTTTGGGCGCAATTCCAGCGTCCATGTTTCGTCCCGCCGACCTGCGACCCCACTTCTGCCTGCGTGAAATATGGATGCGGCTTCAATGTTGAACATGGACATCAAAGCGGGCCTCCGATTGGACGCACGGGTTGGGGATGGGGGGGGGGGGAAATATGAGCTTGATGTGCACGAGGCTTTACACACATTACTCACTTTTTTTCTTTTTTTTTGTCTTAAGAATTTATTCTTGACAAATAGTACCAAGTGGCATGTATGCCGCTTTGCTAAGAGTAAAAACCTTGGTTACCCCCCCCCAAAAAATAAATCTCTTATTTAAACATTAACTTAAAAAGAAGATTGCGTTTTGGAGGTCTGATTATTTCTGTTCCTCATGTAAAATAATGCGAGACTCGTGATTGACCTTGAGGAAAAAACGTGTTATTTTTATCTGCCTGCTAATTCGAACAAGTCTTCAACGATGCTGTACTGTACAGCTTGCGTGTTTGTTTGTTTTTTTGTTTTTTAATGTAAAAAGAGCAGCATGTTGACGTTCCCTCCGTCGCGGCTGCCATTTTAGCCCACCCACGCTCAAAAGTGTTAATCCCGTTAGCCGTTTTAGCGCGCTATCTGTCGTCAACTGCGAAGGAAGCGTGTCAGCGTCGTGCGAGCGGGTACAAGTAAGGTAGCGCACACAAGATGAGGGGGAAAAAAAACGGAATTACCTAGACAAGCTCGGAGTTTGGGAAATGTCGGGATTTGCTTGCCAAAGATCAACGTAATCTCGTAAATGCCACAAGCGTAAAGACGGCTGGTCGGGGGGAAAGTGGGGAGGGGCTTCCGAATAAAAAAGCTTTACGCCACACAGGATTTGGACCTTTTATATATATTTTTTTTTTTCTTTTTAAGCCGACTGTGTCCGAGGATAATGTGAGGGATGTCTGTCTGTCCCAAAATAATGCAAAGAGCGAGACGACTTTAGCTTGCGTCTTTGTTTGAAATGCCATTTCGCAACATTCACAAACTTTTTGTTTTTACAACTTGCTTCGTATGTTTTCTTGCGAAGCTGTTTAGTTTGTTATTTACCTTAATTAGTTCCGATTTTTTTTTTTTTTAGCTGCTAATTAATTCATCGATTCATTCGCTCGATTTACGGATTGTTCAAACCTTTTGCTGATTTTTTTTTTTATCTTTTATCATGCGAAACCTTGTCATACGTGTTTAGAGCGTCGAGTTTTCCCGACTAAAATGACTGTTTTTCGGCGAAAAAAAAATAATACAAGTTCAGCACAGTTTCTCCATTTGCAATGGCGTTATTAATCAAAAAACGACTTTGCTCTGGTGACATCCGACAGGGCGCTCTTTTGAATATTTTGGCCCTTTCATTTCGCTAAACAAGGTCACCACGTTGGGAGACGTGCTCGGCCTTGCCGGAGGTCTGCGCCGTTCAGAGTGGCATTCCAGATTTGAACGATTGCCTCTCCTCTGTCCACACACACTCAAGAAACAGATGAAAGCGCGTCTCCCTCGCGTCCTTCCCACCTGTGATTCCTGCTCGCCTTTTAGCCGACCGCGGGACGTCAGGCGGCGGCCATCCATCACGGCAAAACACTTATCGGGGCGCTCGTAAATCTAACCGGTCACCGATGGAGGAGGGGGGGACGTATGCTTTTCTGGAAACATTTCCCAAATTACCGACGTGAGATATCATTGCTTCTTTTACCTCCAAATAAGCATTAACACAAACAACACTCGACAGTCGGGAGTTTGCTGAGAAATATGTCTTGGAAAGGTCGCACGAAAACCAACGAAGAAACGATGCTGTGACCCACACAAGTCGGCGGCCGTTTTGGTTTGAAGGTTGCTCGTTTCGCAAAACCCACAGCGGGTATTCAAACACATCCCGTTCACTTGAATTTCTCCTTGACTGCGTAGCGCAAAGCTGGCTGTAACAGCGCTAGCTCACAGCTGTTAGCGCGCTCCCCTCCACCCGCTGTCCACTCTTATTAGCATCGATCAGTCGGAAGGGCCAACGTCGGGGTGGTCCACAAACAACAGATGGGGCGTTAACGCAGAGGACCACAAGGACCTTGCCAACCTCGCCAAAGCCTCGAATTCACTGAAAAATTTGCCAATTTTTGAAGAACCCGCCGCACACTGCTATCTATCGGATAACAATATAAAACATGTCTAAAACCCTCCTATGTCTTGATTTTAGAGACTAGTTTGCCTTTTTTTTGAATTTTTGTTCTGATCCTGAACCTGTGTCCTTGAAAGTGTAACTAGGTTACACTTTCAAGGACACTGTGGCAACACCAATCGTGTAAATCACAAAAATAATAGTCAGCTCTTTCGGATGAAACCACAGCACAAACGTATCCGTCTCATTACACTGGTATCAATCAATGCCAATACCAATGCTGGGAATGGCATCGATTGATTTCAAATTCACCGTTGGCATTGATCCGATGCCACGTCAATAGCTTTGACTTGAGAAGTCGTCGCATTTTTGATGATCGTGCTCCCTAGTATCCATCAATATCAATGCCAACATTGGTATCAGTATTTGGATCAATGTGTCCAACACAATTGCAGAAGGCTCCGCACAACAGCAAGTTGAAACGTTTGTTTACCCGTTAAACAAGCGAGCAACTTCCTGTGTGTCTGTAAAGCCGCTTGTTTGTTTCCAATTTCCCGGCGCGAAATGGTGCTGTGCATCAATAACTCTCTTTCTGCTTTTCCTTTCCTTTCCTTTTTTCCCCGTGATTCTTTTCAGCAGCGGGCTTTATCCGCAGCACCTTCTGTTCCATTGTGTCGGCGCGGCGGCGGCGGCCTCATCAAAGCCAGACTAAAAGGGCGACGGGAAGAGTTCAGCGGCGAGTACAAAAGAGGTGACGCGTTCCCGCCTGACACCCACGACTAGTCGCGCTTTCTTTAATTCAATAGAAAAACTGAATCGTGACACATTAAAAGAGACGTATGCAAATTGTTCACAATTTTTAAAGTTTCGAGGCGAATGGTTACGTACTTTTTTACTGTTAAAAATGAAGCCTGTTACGATACAGTATGGAAAGTGAAAATGTGCGATACTCTGCGACGATATACGATTGCATGAATGAATTTAGGGCGGTATGGTGGTTGACTGGTTAGCAGGGTTCGATTCCGGCTCCGGCCTTCCTGTGTGGAGTTTGCATGTTCTCGGCCCGCGGTCAGAAATCACAATAACAATTGATTCTTAAATTTTTTGTAAGGTTCCAGCCTTATGAACAATGGTCAATATTATTCCTCTCCGGTCCAGTAGATGGCAGTATTGTTTTTAATTATTGATGTGTTGCATTTTAGCGTCACTTCTTTGTCCCTTCCAAACTTTTGTAGGGGGTTTTTTCCCCGTCTTGTTTTGTTTTCTGGCAAGAAAAACATAAACATCGAGTACGATAGCAGTTTTAGAGTTATTGGAGCATGTCAAATCTTCCCCTCGAAAATATAGATGTATATATTTCATAAAGACATCACCGTCTTGCCCGCCTTGCTGTCAAGAATCCGTTCTACAAAAGCTCCCCCGTGGCAGGAAACGGATGAAAACATTTCAAGCCGAATGACGCTGCGACGCATACTGGCGACGATGAAATGCAAAGGTGGCTGAAAATAAAAATAGCCGCATACGTTCAGGTGATCAAAGCCAACGGCGGCAGCAGGCAGGCATTCGGAGACGCTTGATGATGATGTGATGACTAGACGGAGGATGGCCATCAAACAATAAGGAGAGAGAGAGAAATCCAAAACGTTGGCAAAGGACAAAGATGGATTTTTTTTTTTCTCCATTCAGCACAACTCACAACTCGCATAATTCCTCGGCACTCGAACCGGGTGTTTCACAGTCTTCACTTTGGCTAACCACAAGCTTTTAAATATTTGATTTGCAATATTTTTTTTGTCATCACTAAGAAGTCATGGAAATGTTATTAATCAGTTCCTAAAACTAACAAAACGCAATTGTAAATAACTAAAACCGTGTAGGCTTGCTTCAATCCCGCTTTCGACATTCTGTTCATCTTGTTCTACTTCTCCCGTCGGCACTTGAAGGTTCTTTGAATTGCTGATATCTTGTGAAAAATACACACAAAAAAAGCTTTAAAAATAGGACATTGGGGGCGCTAGTTGGTTGAGAAAGTTAATCGCCACCGTTGAGTCGGACTTCGAGGTCCCGAGAAACATCCGTCAAAGCATTTGCATTTCTATCAAAGGAATGAACTGTGAGTTTTCGTGTAACTCCAGCCAACCTGATCGCGCTCACTTGTCCACCGATCCAATCATTGGGGAACACTGCCCCCAGGTGGCGAGAAACAAGATGGCGTCCACCCAATGTCAGCTCAAACTGTCCTTTATTGAAAAACGGCCTTACGCGCGCTCAACCTCTTGACGTCATTTGTGCTTTATTGACAAAAACTAAAGTGAATCTACCGTTGATTGCGAGAGCAGTTTCTCTTCCACAGTGCAAAAAAAACAACCAAAGAATGTATTTTTATTTTATACAATATTTATAGAGGAAAAAGTACCAAATAGCTCATGAAAGCATGATTTACAAAAAAAAAGTGACACAAAAGGCAACGAAAAAAAAGGGGGTGCGACTGGTAGTAGCGACACCAACATGTCCAACAAAAAAACAAACAAACATACAATTCAATTTTTAATCAAATGAAAAATAAAGTGGCAAAAAAAAACAAACAAACATACAATTCTTAATCAAATGAAAAATAAAGTGGAACAACAAGCTTTTGTTGGACTACGTAATTACCCCAAAAGTCATACAGAAGTAGCTCTGCCAACAAGCCAACCTGCGCATGCGTACCCAACAGGCGGCCATTTTGGAAAGGTATCTTGATATGCTTTTTGGGGACAAAACATGACAAATTGTCATTTGTCAAAATGAAACAATCAAATAGTGGACTTTCGTTATTTCACTAATATGTACATGACTACCTATTTTCCTAAAAGCGCAGTGTTTCAATATATAGTTACTGCATTTTATTGGAGGTTGCCTGGCAAGTTAAAATCTACTTTTAAATTATCGCCGTTTTTATTCAATCTATTCGAGTCGTTTTACACTGATGTTTTTAACTTGATTTTACAGCTTGATTCTGCAGTGTCCTTGAGTGCTTTAAAAGGTGTTTAACAAAAAACAAAAAAAAAAATTAAACAACAATTAGGAAAAGGAGAAATTGTAACTCATACTCTTTTACTTGCACTGTGAATTCGTATCTAAATTAGCATTCTTCTGGCACGAGGTTTGCCCAAATGGAGTTGTGGTATAACTTTTGCTGCAAATCAACTTCTGGGCGCATTTTGGGTAGCCTCAACAGTGCATTTAGTGAGCGCGGGTAATCGACAAGGACTTCACCGAAGTCATAAAACAAAGATGGGGCCAACCAGGAGTCCTGCACGGCAGCATCTGGCCAGTAGGGGGGCGGGCAAAAAGGAACGGACATGTTGGAAAATAATGCCTGCTCCAAAGTAATCACTGAGTGTCATTTCATTTGTTGCACTCCAATGGAACAAATCCAAAATGAAAGCGGATAAGGCGGAAACTCACCCTAAAGAGCTTAAACTAAACACTCCTGTTAAATGTTGACTTTGTGACAAAGAGAAAATGTGGTAGGAAGATAATTACAAAATTTCTGTAGAGGCGGGGGGGCAAAAATGGCGGCCCGACAAAAGCGTGAAGGCCAATCGAGCAAGAGGGCACAAAAGTTCCGAGTGCGATGGCTCAAAAGATGTAATCGCGTGTCATCTTGAGGGACGGCATGGCCTCGTTGACATTCTGGTCCAGCCGGTGGTACTCGACTGTGTTGCGAGAGCACAGGCTCTCCTTCCAGCGGCGGCTCTGAGCCAGCAGCAGGATCTGACAGCAAGTACAGCAACAATTAATATCAGCGATAATATAAATAGGACTCATCGATTTTGAAAAATAATCCAAATGTGGATCCCCGCCACCCTCATATTTAAATTTGTTTGCCATGCATTTTCTTAACAAACAAGCAATAAATGAATCTACAATAAAATGTCTTAATATTCAATGGATTGTAATCATCTTACAATGCCCTCCACAAGAGGGAAAAGGCCACTGACCTTCCTTTTGTTGTGGTAGGTGATGTAGATGAGGGCCACCAGGAAAGCCAGAATGACCAGGTGGAAGAAGAAATGCGAGTCCTCATCCTCGGTGTTGTAGATGCCGGGCAGCGTGTAGCTGTCGTCTTCCTTGACACCGGGCGTCTCCAGCTGGATCACCGTCTGGTCCTGCTCCTTGCCGCCATCCTCGTTGGCGTCCAGGCGATACAAGCCATCGGCGTAGGCGTCCGGATCGTCGTCTTCATCGGCATCGTAGTCGTCCTCCGGGTCCAGGTGAGCTGTCGCTTCTTTGCCGGCGGGCTGCAGCAGGTCCGACTCAAATTCCTGCAAGGGGGTCGCGGTCTGCGCCTCGGAGGGTTTGACGGCAGAGACTGTGGTCTCCTCTTCGGTGGGTTTAATGGGTTCTGGGGATTTTTTGGCTGTGGTGGAGGCGGTTTCTGGCGTTTTAGACACGGTGGGTGATGCCATGGTGTTTGCCACCTGGGGTGTGATAATTTTAGTCTCGTCAGGCGGTGGCTTGGCATCCTTGTCAGAGGAATCGATGACCACCGCAGAGTTGTCGTCGTTTTGTTTGGTTTTGGGTTCACTCGCTGTTGTGTGATTGAGTTGGGTGTCGTCAATTTGGACGGGGTTTTGCTGAGGGGCCTTGGGTTGGACAGGTGCCGTGTCGGGAATCTCGGGACTGGTCTTTGGCTCGGCCTTCTCTTGGATCGTCAATTCTTTTGTGTCCATCCGAGTATTGCTTTGGTTTCCTGTGATCTGGGGAGGACTCACTGTTACGCCTACCTTGGCTTTCTCGGTGGTCGCCTCTACAAACAGAAAGATGAAATATGACTCAGCTGTTCACATTCGTTTAGTTAAAATGTCTGATACAGCGCGGAATCATTTGGGGTGTTGGGGGGGGATATCCTACTATTTCTCACGTAACCTCCATTCAAACACTGTGTGACTGCACCCTAAATTTGTCTATAGCTTATACATGAATCAGTCCAAATAGAGGCGTCGCCCGCTAGGTAAGAGTTCACTCGGAATTTGAAGTCAAAGGATCTATTCATACACACGCACAGCATGAACAGTCAGTGAATAGGAGGGCTTTGTAGTGTGAAGAAACCTCATGACTACATGCATTCACGAGCTAAACCTTCACGCATACCGCAATGCTACACCATTTAGTAAGCAGGAGCGCATTATCTTATCATTGAAGATACAATCAGCAAAGTTATTCAAAAATGTATCATGTTCAGAACCATGAATCAACAAATTGTTTTTAAATGTTTTGAATTTAAGTTTGTGTTTGATTACTTTTTAGTTCAAAGTTGGACAAGATACAATAAGGGAAGCAAATAAATGGGGGAAAAAAAAGTTTCATCTTATTTCACACAGACGCATGAACGCCCCAAGTTACTCTTTGCATAAATCACGTCGAGCTGTCAAAATCTCGCGACAACTGACACGTCACGGACGAGCACTATTTTACGGCACATCGCCCTACAATGTTGGACAATTCTGAAGCTCGGTTGTATTTCTTCAAAATAGAGTTAAAAAAACGTGCGAATGTGAGGTGTCAATTCCCTCAGCTGACTATCGTGACGTGTTCGCATCGCTAAATTAGCCACTTAGCACTGTGTGACGCTCAGAGTTCTCATAAAAAATAAAAAAGCCGTCGTATGATAAGTATACGACTTTACCAGCCGAGGTGATATTCTTCGGAGCTGACAAAACGCCGCCGAGTCGCAAAAGCTGGAGTGAGACAACGAGTAGACAGAGAGTGCTACTCTTCCTGATTCTTCCCATCGTCGCCATGTTGATTTGTGCGGAGGAAGAGACGAGGAAGTGGGCGTTGCTGAATGTGTGGCGTGGCTGCGCGTCACATTGAACGTCAGCATCGTAATGTCGTCATTGAATGTTTTTAAAAAACATGATTACACAAACATTTTGTGAATTGTTGACTAAAAGTGGCGTAATGTTGAAAATACTGTACAAAAAAAGACTAATACTTGGGAGGCTTCCAAGGAAGTGTTCTTCCAATCTATTGAACATTGGAAATATGACCGTTTAGTTGCACGTTTACAAACAGGAAAACACACTTGCTGGTTCGAGATGTTTTTATTGATTCAGGAAATGACAATAGCCTCAAGATTACTATTAAGCATCCATGGAAAACTGCCACTTCCGGTTTAGATCCAGTAACTCTCATCCATAAGTGTCCATTTTGATCGAGCCGGTCTTAAGACTTGACAGGTGGATTACGCTACACAGGTCTGGTCATAAAATAACATTTTCCGTTAAGCTGCTATGTAACAAGATTAAAAAAAATGTAGACATTGGGGTGTAGTGTGTATGGGTGCGTGTCCATCTTGTTCTCATGAGCGAGGAATATGTATCGTGTGATTATTTGCGTCATTCTTTCTGCACGGCTACACAAATGGACATAAAGGTGACTGAAAATTAAGATGTGCTCAAAGGCTACTCGTTCCCTTGCGAGCTACACGCTTCACATTTCCCGCCCTTCTTCTCGCTCATTTCAAAAACTTAAATATTCCCTTAAACGTGGTCCTTTAAATGTGGGAGATGCTCGCTTCTCGGAGTGGGGTGGGGGCAAGAGTGTGGCCCCCAGCCTGCCTCCAGGTGTGGTACATATAGAGGTAGAGGAATAGGAAGGAGCGGGGTCGTGATGGCTAAATTATTTTTCATTTAAATTGGGGATGATAGGGGGTGGACCGGTGGGGATGTCGGCGAGAAGCGCGCGTGCGCCCTACGCTTGGAACTCCAGGCCGAGTCCTAGCTTGTGGCCGCCGGCGTTGATGTTCTTGCCGTCAAGGAGGGCGGACAGCGTCAGCTTGATGCCTGAAGCAGACCGTACAAGTTTACACTGATGAGACATTCTTTACGATGCCAACAACATTCAGGAAAAACACAAGTCCCCTTTATTTTCACCCCCAATTTGGTCATTTTGGTACCTCAAGGTACCAATGTATTTTCTTGAGCCACAATTAATTTTTCTGCAAATGGGCTGTGTATAAAAATGAGTGTTCTCACCTGGCTTGAGAGTCTGAGTGTATCCCAGGCCTACGAGGCTGGAGTTGTTCACCTTTGCCTGTGGGAGATGACAGATGAATTAAGCGAACATGTCAGAAAAATACATTAAGGGATGAGAGTTCCTGCTCCTGAAGCTGACTCTAGTTTCCTGTTTTGTGGCAAGTCATCAAAATTTGCCACTGTGTACCGCCAGTAGGCAATATGAAATCGAAAATGTTTCACTAATTGCAGGCAGATGAGATCTAGAGGACACATTAAGTCTTCATAAATATTTCCCTGGCGCGTGCTACTTAGCCACTCACGGAGAAGGACGCGTCAGGATCAATCTGGTACTTGGCGGCGATGCCAAAGCGGGTGTTGCTATTGCCGGCAGTCCAGGCCAGATTGACGGCCGTCTCCAGCTGCTCGTTGACCTTCTGGTAGATGGAGCCGCCGAACTCTGTGCCGTCATTTCTGCAAAGGAGCAGAAATAAAAAGCAGAATTCCAAGTGAAAATTTAGTGCCATATTGTTTTGCGCCAGGTGGTTGTACAAACTGGATACACTTCATTTGACCTTATCGAGATGCAAGGATTAGCTGTGAGCTCAGTAGGGGGGGTGGGTGATGTGCTCCGCCGACTTGGCCATAACCTCGCACTCACCCACCGAGTGGGATTAACTGTCTCGCCCTTCCAATCAAGGGGCTTTTGCTCCTTTTGATCAGGCAACTAGCTCGCTCTCACCTGGAGCGTCGTAGATCCCATCGCTCGTGTAAAAATAACCACGAGGCACCCAGCAGTAACTCGATATTCCTCTCATGCCCGATTCAAATAAACACTACTCGCTGGTAGAAACACGCCATTGAAGTACAAGCTTTTCGAAAGCCAAATGCTAAGCAGAGACGCAGTGTTGTCAGATGCACAGACGAGCTAGTATCCATGTACCCAAAACAATCCATCTTTATTTATATGGCGGCGTAAATGTCTTCAACCTTACACGTTGGTGTGCAGCTGGAACTCGTCTGTCTTGTAGCCGACGGCAAAGTTGCTCTGGGTGATCCGGTTGCGGCCGGCCTCAAAGGTCACCTGGTAGCCAGCCAGCCAGCCCTCGAAGCCCACCACGCCGGCGCCGTGCACGGCCGTGCCGTTGATGTCGTAGTTGACGTCACAGCCCAGGTTGATGTGGTCGCACTTGTAACCCGTCTTGAGCTTGCCGCCCTTTTTGCTAGGAGCCGAGAATGTTTAAAAAAAAAAAATCACACTTCTGAGCAACTTCTAAATGACATTTGGTTAGACTCCAAATTAAAATAGAAAATACAGATGTACATATAAGTAGCTTTTAATTTAAATATATTTAGAATTTTTAATTTTAAAAAGCCAAAAATAAAATGCACGCTAAAATATAAATAACAAAATAAAAATATTTTTTAAGTGAATGTTAAAATAAAAAATAAAGTAGATCAAGAAAAATATGAAAAAGAAACATTAATTTAGTGAATAATAAATTCTAGGTAATCAAATAGATTTCAATAAAACAATACATCAACTAAAACACAATCTTAATTTTCTACAATGAGCTTACCCAGTGTTCGGTGAGAAGGAGGAGTCAAACGTCAGCTTCAGACCCTTGGTCAACTGGAGAGAGCCGTCACAAAAGAGATAAATCGACATTAGCTCACCTGGAAACACCAGCAACAATCAACCCAACGTCCACGCTGCACCTCTCATCTCCTCTGCACCCACCAGGTCCTCGATGGTGAATTCGGTGCCCAGCGTGTTGTCGGTGTTCCACTTCTCCGTAAAGGTCACCCCGTGCTCGGCCCACTTGTACTTGGTCTCCAATGAGCCGGCCACCTTGCTGGTTTCGGTGTTGGCCGAGCCGGTGCTAGTGAATTCCTGCGCATGAGGAAACCGTTTTTAATGTGAACTTGGCCGCAATGACACCCACTGGAATTGGCGCCTTGCCCACAAACATCGGTAAGTCCGCTCAGCTTGTGGTGGGAGCGTAACATAATCTTATCAGGAGTGCCTCGGTCTTACCAGTCCGTTCTCAGACTTTGTTTTTAAGTCCAGCTTGATGAGCCCAAAGCCTGAGGAGAAAACAACAAGTAAATATCACCCGCTCAAACTCAGGGCGTCATTTTGTGTCAGGCCTTTACTCCTCACCGTATCCCTTGGTGAAAACATCCCGGGCGGACTTTCCCAGGTCGGCGTAGGTCGGAGGTACGGCCATGATCTACAACCAAGGGATGGGAAGGCGAGTTAGGAAGGCAGACAATGAAGGAAAGGACACAAAAGTTGATTTCATATCAATTATTTCAATTATATTTTGCTTAGCTCTGAACCGCCGCAACCTTTCCGTACCATTTTTTTCTTCCCCGAAAGATACACTTGATTAAATGTAATTTCTTCACAGACTAATTATGTAATCATGGAAAAAGCTGCCTCTCTTGAGATTTCCGCGCCACGCAACTTGTGAGCAAACTCTTTCACCATGAAGCGTACAGAGTTACAACATAACTGCCGTTTTCGCACTTCTACAGTCACGCAGGTAATGTGATAACATTTGGTGTATTTTGATATCAGGTATGTGGACAATGTAGAGTGTTACTACAGGTGAATAGTTCCTCCTTTATTATCAACGTCGGAGTAGATCCTACCGCTCAAGCTTCTGCATGCCATGTTTGAACACCTCCTTTAGGCAACAACCGCAGACCTTTGCTTCTAGTTACTGCCTCATGACCGTGGATTAAATCCAACTTTATACTTCCTCATCCAATAATTCATTTGATCTTCCGCCTGCTTTGTCACACTAGATTCCAAGTGTGTCATAAGGCCTTGAGAGCCAATAAGAAGCTTGAAAGATCCTTGACTGTCTGTCGTAAAAATCCCAAGGGCTTCAATGGTTGTAAATGGTTAATTACGACTGGGGCAAACCAATGGGTGGGGATTATCCAATGCTCTTTCACTAGTACAACTAATTTTACTACCGCAACGTGTTGTAGGTATTAAATGTGTTGTTGCCTTAAGCATGACAAGTCAAATGTCCCAAACAGAGTAAAGGTGATGACTCGTTCTGTCTATTAGCATTAGCCAGTAGCCTCCAAGGTGGGCAGCGGGCAAACGCCCCCCTTAACTTGATCGTCGCAGATTTTTCACGAAATGTTTAGTTGGTAACAAGTCAAAACGAACTAAGCTTTGTTGTTTCTACCAAGCGGGATATGCGCAGCCTTAAAGTGACAAACGACCGCTTCATAAGTCATTAGCTGTCAAGCTAACAGCGGGCCTAGCCTCGTAGCCCCATTCACCTCTACGGCTTAAAAATGCGAACGCGTATGACAGAGAGCCGGTACGAAAACATCAAGCCGCCCCAAAGCAGCACCGGCGATTTTGGACTTTCAAATACGCACCTCGAAGTGCGGTTTCCCGTCTGGAGCGTGTGGACCGTCACGGAGAAAAGGGAGGAGAAAAGATGAAGAAGAGGCAGGAGGCGGCTCGACGTAGACCACGTGACGTTACGAGTCGCGCAACGCCTTCAAAGATACAACAGCGGGACTGGGGAGAGCCAAGATGATTACCTCTCCCAGTTCGAACAATTTTAAGGTGAGTTATTGTCGTATAATAAGGTTGTAATTACAATATCTTGTAAGTACGGCTTTATTTGAAGCCAAATTTTAAAATGCACGGACTGCAGCTCCCACTGCTCCACAAGTCACGTTAAAGTAGATCCTTAGATGCCACAAGATCAAGATCAAGTCAAGTCAGCTTTTATTGTCAAATATGCTCTGTGTGTAACATACAGCACAGATGAAATTACTTTCCTCTCTCAACCACTGTGCAAACATGTAGTGCATTGAGCACACACAGTTAACATTTACATAAAATTACATAAGACATAAATATATAAATATGTTCAATAAAAATAAAACAAAGAAAGAGCAACAACAACAAGATGGTGGCAGAGCACTACTTTTGTGTAAACGAAGCTTCTCAATTCATAATAGTTCCTTGGCATCAAGATTCCACTAGGCAGTGTCTACAGCTATGCAGTCAATCCTTGACATATAAAATTATTTTTTGTCTTTGCTGGGTTTCGCAGAAACAAAAGCCACAGGGTGGCGTCGAGGGAACGCGGCCAAGACTGTGCGGTGGCTTCCTTTCTTGCAGGTACAGTCACACGGCGTCTTCTTTTCACCCCCAAAATTAATATAAAAAATCTATCTACAGTCATAATGGCAGTTTTTGAGGTATTCATTCAACAGAATGTTTATTTGAATACTTTTGCATCATTCCGTCAGCTTTTGCCAGTACTGTATTTAAGATTTGATATTCATCTCTCTCAGATTGTGAACTATGGTGTTGCAGCCACCAGATGTCAGAATTTGTGAGCCAGTCACAAAGTTGTCTGTTTTTAATTCCCTGCAATTTTTTTTGTTTAAATTCTATAATATAACTTAATAAAAACTTAATCAAAACGAGTAAGCTAAGTCTTAATATTCAAGAGTAAACGTTTTGTGATAATATACATTAACAATAATAAGTTTTGTCTCATCACATCAGATTGTTTTGTGAATAATTTTCTTGAGCTACCAAATAATACACATTTAAAAAGCAAATACAAATGTTTTTTTTAAAAAAAATCTATGATCATGCTCAAAAGGAATACCGTAATGTATATTTTTAAAATACAATAATAACAGTTAAATACTTCAAATGAAAAGTATTTTAAAATAAATAAAATAATGAATAAAATTTCAGTTTATTTCATTGTATTTAATTTATTAAACCTAAAATACATTTTAAAATGATTTACATGTTTACTTGATCAACATTCTGCTCCATTTTGTCCACGGGAATTAATTCTTTCTGGAGAAGGATTAACAAGCCACACATTCACAAGATTAAGAAGACATGTCTGTCGCCGGCGGGGGCTTTTGTAAAAAAAAAAAAAAAAAAAAAAAAAAGCATCCCACTTTTTAAATATTCTAGCTGGAGGGCGATGCGACATTTCTGCAAACTTGTGCAAGTCAAATGTACTTTTTCCACCCTTTGACAGACCACAGCCCTCATCCGCTTTTTCAACTTTGTTCACGCAATTTTTCTTCATTGATTGCTCTATTTTAACCCCCGTTTTGACGGGACATCAAATGTGTTGTCCATTGATTTCCAAGCTACGCTCTGTATGATTAACGAGCGACTTTTTTTTAAGATGCACGGCGGCCAACAGCGTGAGTCACAAAGCAGCTACGGCGTGATGGATTCGAAGAGATGCGTCTCTCTTTAGTCTTTGCCCAGAGTACACAGCTTGTTGTCATTACATAAATACGATGAATAAATATGTCATTGATCCTCCATCCCTGCTTGCATCTGCCTTTCATTGGCCTGTTTCGCTGCAAACGCGCTAATAGGAAAAAAAAAAGTGGTGAGGGAAACTGCTTTCCTTTGGTTTGGTATAATTATACTGTAGAAATAAATACACATATACATATATATATATATATATATATAAATTTATATGTGCACGGAGAGTTTTTTAAAAAATCCTCAATATTGCTATGAGACCAGGCTCCTCCCCTACCCTGAATTTACAGGGAATGAGAGGAGCCACTTCGATTGGCCCGGAATCAAGTCAGCTGTGTTCAGTCCCACAACGGCGCAAACGGCCATTTCTAACTGTGCTTTGCGGTAGACTTGTAGGGGGACTGCGGGGGTTGTACCTTGATTGTGCCCTCTGCGATTTACGAATACAGTGCAAATGTCGATTTGAATTTAATTGTTCAGCCCTCCGAGATTAGGGACTGTACATGGCACTTGCTGTAGGTTTTTTACCCCAGCCCAGGGAAGCCTCCCAAATGACTGATACATTTTCAAAATTATTCCATAAAGCAGACGTGTAGATTTCCAGCCCGGAGAGATAAAGTGTCATCTCCTCCATTTTCGTTTTCCTCAGCATGCGGCGGTTCACGCCGAGGCCAAACTGCTTCCCGGCCTTCCCCTTTCGTCATCCGGACTGGAAGTCTTTAAACCAGAGTGTTGCAGAAATGCCATCACTTTGACAGCAAAGATTTAACGCTAAACGGCAAATGTTTCCCATCCGTGATTGTTTGGAGGGAAAACATTGATTGCGTCATCGGGGTGCGCAAGTTGCGAAATTCCTGCGACCATGCCGGGATATCGCCGCTGCAACCATTGATCGCGCATCAAGTCCAACCCCCAAATAACTGACGCCATTTTTTTTTTTGTTACTTGTTAATTAATCAATAAAAATATAATCGCGTTGTAAAATAGATACATACAGTCATCCATCCGCCACTGATTGTGATCAGCTGATTTCCGTGGAAAAGTATGTGATCGGCATAAGTCTATCATTGCCGATCACAAATCATGATCATCCGTAGCTGATTAATCAATAAATAAAATAACATTTTATCTATATATATTTAAATACACACACACACACACACACACACACACACACACACACACACGTGTATATTGAATTTGGAACAAATGCAATTTGTTTCTCTGTTGTGAAACTATGACATTTAATTTCATCTCACAACCGCCTCGTTTTCCATAAAAAAAAAAAATTTAAAAAAAAACGACAGGTGTGCAGCGGTAACGCGACAGTGCTTATCTTTACATCTTTACCTAACCAGCTCTGTTTCCTTCATGAATGGAAGATGCATATCGAGGACGTAGAATCGTATGAAAACCTCCTGCGAGCTGAGTGGGAGTCGGGTGCAACGCAGACCGCCGTGACATTTTCACTGGCGTCTGATTTAGCGACAGGAAGGACGCCGCTCTCACTCTTTTTCCCGGCAATGTCAACCGCATGTCATTGCCACGCCGAGCAAAACAAACAAATCAAAGATGTATTTATTTATTCCATTTATTTTTTGTGCGCTTGAACTCTCCTGGCTTCCACGATTGATTTCCAGTTGGTGTAAGGCAAGCATGACTTTATTGAGTTTAACTAAGGAAAAAATATAAGAATATGTATCTATAAGTGTATGTTTGTGTATATGTATATATAATTTTTTTTTTAATGTTATTCTGTTTATGTTAAATTGTTATCCGTTAAATTTAAAGCCACGAAGAACTCGTCTTTATTTTATAATGTTCTGTTTGGAAATAATAATACTGTGTTATCATTTTAATGCATTTTGGAAATGATATTTATCTTTAAGAGTAGCTTTAATTATGATCATTAGAAAGGCCGCTGTAACAATGTGCTACCTCCCAAGGTAGATTATCGTGTTATATTGTGTTTGTCAAGAATTGCCTTTTAGCATTTTCTTTTTTCTTTTTAAGGAACCGCTCACTGCTGTGAATGCTGACGTTTAGCATAGATGCTAAAACAAGACTTGTCATGGATGTTCCACGCCACTATTATGCGCCGCTAGCTAAAATTGTTACGTTTCATACCTTGAACTGAATTGTAAAGCTAGTTGAAAGATACATGCTGTTTTGTTTTTTTGTTTTTCAATGAACTGCACACAATTTTAAGCTAACGTTAGCATGCAAGTTGATCCGCACGAATAAGCCGCTAAAGTAGGCTGTCTTTTGTCTGCTGTAGCATCCAAGCTATTGTAACGTTGTATTGGCGCCGCGAGAGTGGCTGCCTTTCCAGCAGCTCCTATATTTTGTTGTTCTACTTCTTCCTTTCATAACTTTGCTGCTGTGAATTGGGAATTTCTCCAATGCGAGACTAATAAAGGTTTTCTTATCTTATCTTAAGTTTAAGGCTTTCATCATGTTCATTTTTCATATTTTTGATCATTAATCGCACATCTGTCATTGATCGCGACACAGAAAGCACTTGCGCTGGCGCAGAAAAAGGTTTTATATTTTTATTTTGCATTTTTCACCCCGACGAAACGAACCACCACGTAGAGCCTGTCGGCGTGCGTCCGGGAATAATCGAGTAATTTATTCCGTTTTGGCCCCCCTCGGGTGTCCCGCTCACATCAAAGTGGCGGCGTGGTATCTCGACCCGCGACGCCCTGCCCGGAGACACGGAGCACCGAGGAAATTTGCAATTTCACAACTCGACTCTACGCCGCTACACCTGGCAGGTGAGGGCTCGCATTCGGCTTTTGCGCACATTTTAACGCCTATAAAAAAAAACAAAAAAAAAACGTCCACTTCATTAGGTACACAACAACAGTGGTAAAACCTCAGTCTGGTATGATACCTTGTTTATTAAATAGTAAGATAAACATGAGAATTTCCAGTATAAAATTTCCTTTTTATCTAATTTAAAAAAATCGAGTAGTCTGACATTGTCATAAGGCTAATTACTAGGACTTCATTTTTACGTTGGCAAGCCAAGGCAGCTTTACATGAACAGCATAACGCATTTCAGACACAGGTTATCTCAATGCGCTTCACATAATTAAAAGTACATTCAAAAGCAAACAAAAGAGTTCAAGACTTTTTAAAAGCAAAGCGAAGAAATTAAAAAGTCGCTTTCGAAAAATTAGCAAAAACAACGAACGAACAGTGCAAAGTAACGGCTTGGTGGATTATTTCCAAACGGTCATTTTTACCGCCCGATGCTAGTTTTATCCGCTAACCTTCTCGGAGTGAAAGTACCTCAAACGTGTATTTAAATCATTACGTTCTGTTCCACCGCTGCCTGTAATCTGGTCTGTCAGAGCTAATTGCAGTGCTTGGCCAACATATCATCATCATCATCGTGATCATCATCGTTGTTATGACAACGCCGCTGCGCAAAAGTCGGATGATATACTGTGAGAAGGGACGTTTGTAAAACAGAGGGGACCTTTCTCGCAACCGCCGAGCAGATGTGTCGGTTTTGGCTGTTGTCATCTTCCTCTCCAGGGGCAGAAGCCGTCATGTTTTTTTTGGGGGGGGGGGGGGGGGGGTTTTTTTTAAAAAAAATTCATAAAGAATAATCCTGCCATATCGACACGAGCTCGTGCTTGTTGTCCTGTACGAGATCCAAGTTTTATCAGCACTCCTATTCACTTTGGACGATATCTAACTCAAGGTGGTCAATGGTGGCACTTGGCCAGTTGCAAGTTTCCACCAATGGTCTCCTAATTTTGAGGGATTATTGTTCAAGCAAGATCTCTTTTTTTGATTGGTTTTTTTTTTTTGTTTTGTTTTTTGGCCAGGACTTCACTCACATCAAGTGATCTCCAAGTTTTGAATAACCTTATTGATTTTGAGCCACGCTAATGGATGTTTTGGGAAGACCAAGTTGAGAGCCTGAAGACGCTAGTGAGAGGAAGAAGAAAAAAAAAACATCAAAGCCAGACGTTTGGTTTGGAGGACACAAGAAGAAGAAGAAGAAGAAGACACATACTTGTCTCGTCTTTTAAGGTCTGCCAAGAGTTTATTTGTTTTGGATTAATGTAATTATCCCCCTAACCCCCAGCCCAAACCGAACCAACCCGGCCCAGCCCCCCACACCCCCCACCCCCACTTTAACACAGTGAAGATTGCACAAACATCCCAGTAGCGCCACTGGATTACATTAGTACTTTGTGTGGACGGCCGAGCAGCTGCTTTTGGGTTGTGTCCAAAATAACATTACATACGGATTGAAAAAGGCATTAACACAAGATGGCTGCATAACTCACTGGACAATTTATTTGTTACACGTTCTGCTTTTACAACACTACAGCTGCTCTATTTTGGTTATTTTTATTAACACAAAAAGGTGGGGAGTGTGCTGGATTTTTTTTTCAAAATTGCTAATACTCGCAAATTTGTAATAATTGTTTTTGGGGTTTTCTGAAAATAAATTGCCATACAATATTCTTTAATAGTTTGTTCTAAAAAAGCTGTTGCATTGGTTCTCACGGTGTGCTTATATTTCACTATTTTGTAACTGTACATAATAATTGAAATGTAGGTTGGAAATTGATCGAAAAAAATAAACACACGTTACAATTTAAAAGCAATAATACACAAACTCATTCACTTCATGAAATTAAATCTTTAAAGGGATCAGTTTGTCCAGGAGTAGAACTACTCCTTCTTTTCACCCTTCAAACATTTCTTACGTATTATAAATTGAATGGGACACATACTGTTTTATGATATTTCATATTTAATTACAAACTGTTTTATTATATTTCATACTTAATTACAGAATGTAAATCGGCAGCATCGTAGATACAGTATGTGTGTGTGTTTCTTGTCTAGAGTTACACTATTTTAATACATTACTGAAAATAAGTATGAAATATTCGTATGATAATCTTAGCAAATATTTATAAGTCTACTTTAATTTTTTTTTTGATTTTCACTTTTTACACAGCTGTGACATTTTGTAACATGACCACGTTTCACCTCTAGGGAGCAGTGTAGTCACCTTTGGCTGTTGTGTTGCCCATGGCTGACCTTGACCCATTGAACTTTCGAGCGCTAACGATGGAGCACATTTGGAGTTGCGTTATCATGTCCATGATTGATGGTATTGATCCATTGAATCCAATTGAATGCCTGTGCTTTCATCGCTTGTCTGGATGGCAGTGCGCAGCATGTTAATCCTTGATCTTTCCTACTGACTGGGAAGCATGGAAACAATCTTACACAGGCGCACACACACACACACACACACACACACACACACACACACACACACACACACACACAGTAAAAAAGCCAAACAATGATCCATCATCACCATCCACATCCTCCTACGGGCCACATCAGGGCACTTTGCCGCAGAAAAAAAAAAAAAAAAAACGATTCCAGATCAGGCAGCCAACAGTCATCTGCGGGCCCCTTCGCCACTAGAAAGAGACCACTGTGGACGCCACATTTAATAAGAGCCACCCGCCTTCTGTCACAGGGAGCGGAGGAGGCTCCCCCCTCATTTTTGTCGAGCTGCAAAATGTCGGCTACTGCAGTTTCGTGTTTCACGACTAATGACAAAAAGTTGCGATATTTCGCAATGTAGCACATTCTCTCTTTGATAGCAGTTTGAAGGACGAGAATGGACAATTCGAAATAAAATTGCGGGCTTCCAGTGGCATTTCCCGCATGGTTTCTTGAGACTTTTTTGTGGGTCTACTCAGCATAGAATTGTCGACCAAAATTTGTGTCACCAAGTTAAAGTGGCTTTGAGGGCTGGAAAAAAAAGTAGCCTCATCTCTCTATTATTCATTGTTCAAATTTACGAACAATCGGACTGAAACTATGATCAGTTTGTCTTTTAAAATGCCACACATACATTAAAAAAAATGCTGCAAAAAAATGCTGGTTCAAAGTTAAACAGCAGAATTGTCTTTTCAGGCGCCACTTTATGAGACTTTTTAAGTGGGTTTACCCACGATAGATGTGTAAAAAAAATTGTGATGCCAAGTGAAACTTGCTGATGAACTTTAGCTTCCATAATGAGTAAATGCTAACCTCTTCACTCACATGAAACACACACATTTCTTTCATGGACGTAACATGATTCGGATTAGCATTAGCATCGCGTCCGTTTTGGATCAAATACTAACCCATTAAGATCAACTTGCTCTTTTAGCTAACGTACTAAAATGTAATCTATGTGGAAATAACAACACATTAACTAGGATGAAGTCCCTCTCTTTTTAATTACTGTCAAAAATGAGCAGCAAGTTGCTGTTTGAGCTAATGCAAATACGTTAGCATAATTGTCAACTGTTGTGATTGACACTTTCTTTTCGAGGTTCATAATTTGATCAGTAAAAAATAAATAAATCGAATTTGTGTTGCCTTGTGGGAGGTGGCCCTCCATCAGAAGCGGAACTGCGGCTAACATGCTAACCACGAACATCAAGCGGCCGCGCAAGACGAGCGCATCGACACATGAAGCAGACAGCTGCTGCCGCATCGCAAGACACTGTGATACAATCGGCAGCTTGGCTAATGGCGACAACTACGGCAAAGACTTAACGGAGCGCGACCGCTAACATGTCATTTTGATTATATTCCTTTAAATGACTGGACGCACACCAAACGTCTTTTCACCCGAGAGGGTTGCGTTGCTTTAAATAGCAACACATGCTACAAGATAGCTTCTGAGCAACTATACCTTTAAACTGTGTGTGTGTGTGTGTGTGTGTGTGTGTGTGTGTGTGTGTGTGTGTGTGTGTGTGTGTGTGTGCCTTAGTGAATGGCTTGGATCCACATCAAAGGGCCCCAGCTAGTCTCTGCATTAACGAGACCTTTTGTTTCCTGCCTCACAGATTACTGCATGACCCCCACCACCCACCCACCCCGAGTCCCCGCTCTTTGTGTGTGCATGTGTGTGTGTGTAAGTGTGTGTGTGTACGCGTATGCAGAGCACATTAACCTGTGCACCCAAAGGTCAAGTTGTGACGGTCTTCTTTGGTTTGTGTGGTGCACACGTGTGATGTCAGTTAGCAACCTTTGGGAACATTTGACGGAGTTCAAGCGTCAAGTATTTGCAGTTTTGTCGGCAGTATATCATTCATCATTTAAATTTTTGATGATTTGGGATTTTTTTCTACTTCAACGGTTTTACAAATAGCGGAAAGAAACTGTGTTTTTTTTTTTTTGGATCAAAATATTGAAATGTATTACAAAATATTGAAAAATGTCTAAGGAATCTACTTTAAAATATTTTTTAAAATATGAAAATATCTTGAATCAAAAATCAAAATAGCTGTAATTCATGACAAATGCTGAAATTGTCTGACTTTAACTCAACCCACCACCCCCCAAAAAATGTGTAGATCATCCAGCACCACCAAGCTGTTTTCAAAAATGTTCCTTATTTTTTTTCCAGTGTTTGTTTGTTGTTTTCCGCCCCAGAGCCCCGCACAGATCTGCGATCGTAACTCATAAATGTTTGATAAGCCGCTAACGACGACGAGGTGAAGAGACCGAATCAATCGCAGCGTCAACACAAACATGCCTGCTATGGCTCCGTGGAGCCTCGTTAACAACTTCTCGCCAGAGTAAAACATAACTTCTGCACTGCGCGCCTGTGCAGGATATGGACAAATATATTGGGACTCGTTGACTTTCCATCTCTTGGAAGTGACGTCGGACAATATGACCGTGTGATTTGTTATGCTGAGAGGAGCTTGGTTCCGTTGGATTCTCAAACTTCAAACAAAATGAATTCCTCTAACCAACGAACTGTGTGTTCTTTCGGAATTATGAGTGACCTGTTTCATAGGGTGACAGCGATCTTAACGACAAACAGCAGTGAGGCACTTGCGATTTACTTTAAAACTAGAGACATTAGACGTTGTGTATTTAACGGAAGCATCAAGCATCTAGCTTAATGCTAACACACAATGCAAAACACAACTGCGATTAACACCGAAGCCTATGACTGGACCATTTGTATTTGTTGGCACGGTAACAGTTTGATCATCACTTAGATGGCAACAGAAATGTGAAAATAAATAGTCCTAAACCACTTCCTAGTTTGCCAAGAAAATGGACTACTCCATTTTTTATTTGAGGGGGGATAGAGGCGAACAAGTCCACTATATTTCTTGATCCATCCGTCTCAGAGCAAACTACTTCCTGCTGCATGGAGACGGACGGGGGTCGGTAACTTCATTCCGAAGAATGAATGAAATCCTGTTCACGAACGTCAATCAAATCAATACATTTGCGCCTTGAAAGGAGCGATTAGTGCTGGTCGCAACATGTTGTGCTTGTTGTCTGCGTGATGCCTTCAAGGACATGTTTCCACGGGCAAGCGGGCAATAAAAAGGAACACAAGTGGTTCCAGTTAAGAGCCGTTTGCCTTGGATGTGGTTTAACCCCAATGAGAGGACATGATTTCATTACTTTGCCTTAATGTCGTGCCTGCATGTCGCTTTCGAAAGCACGGCACACTACAGTATGTCATCTATTTTCTTTTAATTGTATGTACAAACCCACTGTGATTCATCTTTTAAAAAATACATAAATAGAAATTAAAGTGTGAAAGGTTTTCAGAATATTTTTGGCTTGTTAACATGTTGGCGAGAGCTGTTTGTAAGATTTTTAATAAATCAAGTCCGAGAACGTAAAGTAAGCAAAAAGAAAAGCGTCATGTCAGACAAGCCAAGGAAATTGAAAAAATTAATGTAAAACAAAGTTGTTAAAATCCCAGTCTGGAAAAATAGAGGAATTTTAAATGTTCGTAAATGTTTGCGTGTACTAGCTAGCTACTGTAGTAACTAGCTAGCTTTAATAGCAACTCCTCTCTGTGTACTACCAAGTAGAAAGTTTGGCTCAGCAGGCTATGAAAGCCGCTGAGGGTGAATTTTCTTTTTCCGATTTTATTCCAAATATTTTTTTCAATCAAATCCATCACATGGCCCTACTTCCGATTACCTGTGTGTTTCATAGCGTAGGTTCTATGTTGATATATTGTGAAATATGCTAAGTTCAAACAAAAATGGCTAACTCGCTCGCTGTTTCACGGCATATGTTCTTCGTGGATTCACATGCATCTTGTCATGTTTTACATCCGCGCTGGATTTCGTAATAATAAGACCGACTGGTGCCAAGTACTAATATGTTCTAACACTTCAGGGGGCGTATTTTTGAAAAGAAAAAAAAAGAATTGCCCACGCGGGTCTCGACAGACGGAAACATCTGTCTATATTTAATCAAGGCGAATAAACAAGGAGTTTAAACAAGTCATTCATAATTTAGATTTGCATACATTGGAAGTGCGCCTTTTAATCTTTGTATTAATATGCACCGGCGATATTGTATAAATATGCAGCTTTATGCAAATGGCCGTGCGCCCGTCTTCTCTGTTTGTGTTTAATTTCGCTCCGCAGCTGAAGATCGTCACTCGGCCTGCGATTAAGTGTCGCGGATGAATATTTCTCAATTAACAAGCGCATTAAAAATGCATCGGCACAGGGAGCAACAAAAAGGAGGAGAAGAGGGAACGACATTGCAACTTTCAACTGTCGTGTGTGTTTTTCTGTCTTCTTTCCCTCCTCGACATCGAGTCAGCCGACATACAAAATGGGGGCCAGATCCATGCCGGGTAGGCCACGCCCTCTTGTTTGGCACGGAACGTCCCGCATGGCGTCCTCCTGCCCGGCGCTTGTAAATGAACACTTTTGGACCAGAACACCGGCGACATGCTTTAGCAAAGCAAAAATGTCGGTTCTCAATCTGGCACAGGATGACTGGAGAAACTTAGAACCCTGTCATTTCCTATTTTGTTGAATGCGGCGTAAAGGTAGTGGAAGTCAAGGCGGGTAATTGCCTTGTTTTGTTGTTGTTCTGTACTTTGCATTTACAATACAGATATGACATGACTTATGTTGTTGAATGCAGCATAAGGGGAGTGGTCAGCAACCCTGTTTTTAATTTCCTCTCTGTTCGTCTCTGTGTGCCCTGCGATTGGCTGGCAACCGGTTCAGGGTGTCCCCCGCCTAGTGCCCGAAGACGGTGGGATAGTCTCCAGCACCCCCACGACCCTTGTGTGGATAAAGCGGATCAGAAAATGGATGGATGGATTAAAAGCAGTGGAAGGGTTATGGAAGTGATGATGGCAGTCAGCAGCAGTCTTTGTCTTTGTTGTTTGAAATTTTGTGTTGATGTTGATATTTCCCATTTTCACGAATGCCCCCCAATCAAGTGGTGGGGGGGGGGGGGGGGTCGGTCAGACACCATATTGTTTTATTTATTTTTTGTGCTTTTATGTTCGAGTTGAACTATGTTGACATGGAACACTTTGAATACAGACCCAAGTACAATGGACTCAATTTGCGAGGAATGGTGGCCCGGGCTTTGCATGTCACAGACTGAGTCTGTGACATGAGTCTGTCAGACTCATAATTACTATTTTCATGAATGCAGCTCACAGGTCAAAGAAGTTGTCCTGGTGTTTAGTAAAAATATTTTTTTAGTTTTGATTTTGTTTGTTTTACCATTTAATTTGGTTGAAATGGAACATTTTGAATCTGGGCACCAGTAGGATTTCCCATGATCATGAAAGCAGCATGTTGTGGTGAAACAATACAAATCCAGTTTGGCTTTCCCCAGTTTCATGAATGCAGCACATGCTGACAGGGTGCTGGTGGTGTTCGAAGCCCCGAATCTTGGATGGTGTGAACACGCCCCTAATAGTCATGAATAATGCTCGCGGACGATGAGGAGGTGGTGATGTCTCTTGAAGAAGTTCTGTAGAAAGAGACTCTCTCGCGCACACACACACACACAGACAGACAGACACACGCAAACACACTCACATATACGAGTCATCGGAACTGTCAATCACCCAGGCGGCGCCCTTTGATGTCGGGGGTCCTCGTCTTGCCCTGCTCACTCTTGCGGGAGAACGTCAGTCCTCCTCCAGGCGGCCGCGGGACGCCACGGAACAACTTTACCCCGTCTTCTTCCGGACTTTTCAAGAGGACAAACTCGCAGATTTGACGTCTCTTTTTCGACTTTTTTTTAAACCCTTTGGTTTTGATTTTGTTGGACACACTTCATAAAAGTGTCCCCGGACGTGGACATGCCTCAGCATGGGGGGGACGACCTGGGAGCCACCGACGAGATGATCGCCTTCAAGGACGAAGGCGAGCAGGAGGAGAAGGTCCACCAGGAGTGCGCCTTCACCGAGCAGGACCTGGCAGACCTCAAGTCGTCGCTGGTCAACGAATCCGAGATCCACCAGCACAGCACGGGCGGCCCCGCCGGCTGCGGCGCCTCGTCGGTAGGGTGCTCGTTCTCCTCGTTTATTTAAAGCATTTCCCTCACTTTCGAGCAGTTCCCCACCGCGCAACGCCGCGTTTTATGAATCGAGTCGCCCGCGATAGACTTGAAAACACTTTTAAGCAGCCTACATCCTTCTTTTCCCACTCTTGCACCCTCCAGGCGGTGAGACGGGGGCAGCCGACCGAGCAGCAGAGGGGCTTCCCGGACAAGCACAGGGAGCAGCTCGACGCCGGTAAGAAGGCCCCCAAAACACGCCGAACGTTGAATATTAGGCTTTTGGGGTTTGGCTAGAGTGGTCAATGTTTCTAAAACAAACTTTTTATCGAGCTTGTCCAAGTATTTTGGTCACGGGGGCACGTGCTGTTCAGCGGCGGCTTCAAAGAGTTGAGCTTCCAGGTGGCCACTGTAAAAAATGTCGATCGTATGCTCCTTAGTTTTTGTTTTTTTTTAGGCTACCCACTGATAGCAACCATTCAGGACGAAATGTTGATTATTGCTCTTATTTAGCCATTTCTTACAGTTTTACTCTTTAGAAACTACATTTAAAATCGAAATGGCTACACAATGAGTCTTGAATTTGAGAGTTTTTAAAGTTGTTTACACGTTTATGGAGCGAGATTCTGCCCTTTAAAAAAAAAACCTTAAATTATGAGTAAACATCCTCGTCTTGAAATTTGATCAACCATCCCGCTAATTATCATTATTTGGGCATTTTGTTCATATTTATATTTACCTATTAACTGCACTAGGCTACTCGATGAGTCTTGATGCACGCATGGATTAAATGAGAGTTTTGAAGGTGTTTCCATGATGAGTGAGTCAGAAATGGTTGATTCTTGTTATGATTGGGCATTTCTTAGTGTTTCACTAGTCAACAGTTTTGATTTGAACTAACTGTGAGACTTTCCATGTTTTTTACACATTGAGAAGCACGTTTTTGCTTTAAAAAATTTAAATTAAGAGTAAAATTCACCTTGAAATATGCACAGAAATCCTTTTAATTATCATCATTTATTATGTCAGTATTTTATTCAATTTACCTTTTTAGGGTTTCTTTTTTTTTAAAGAATGGCTACACAATAAGTCTCAAACAAATTTGGACTATGCTTGAGTGGTTTTCAGGTTGTTTACAATATGACAGTCCAAAATCCTGTTAATTACTCCTGTGAATTATTTTTTGACAGTTTACCCATTAAAAATAATTGTCCTGTTTTAGCGTGACACAATGAGTCGTAATGCACCTATTTGGACTAAATTTGAGAGGTTTGACATTGTTTAGATCATGAAGTAAGTCAGTAAGAAAGTTGACTCATTTTAATAGTGATTAAAAAAAACAAAAACTGACTGTTGCCAAATGCATGAAATGTGTATAAAAAAAATCCTGCTGCGGGCATTTTCTACAATTTACAAGACTATTAAGAAAATTGTCTTATTTTCGGATGGCGACACAGTGAGTCTCGACGCACAGATTTGGACTAAACTTGCCAGGTTTTATGTTGTTTACACGACGTGTGTGTGAGTCAGGTTCTGCCTGCCCTCAGTTCACAAGCGTCATTATTTTGTGACAGTTGCCATGAAAAATCTCTCAATTTGGGTACTTTTGCAATTTACAAAGATGCACGTATTTATTTATAGTCCTACAATCCGATGACATCGTGCTTGGAAAGCTGTTGAAACTTGTTTCAAAAGATAATCAATCCATTGGATCAATACTAGGAAATAACAGATTGGATTCACGCACGGCAGACTTTTTATGGACACGCTTTGTGTGACTCACCTCGGTGCTCGTTGAAGCTTCCATCCATCCATTTTCCGATCGGTTTATTCTCACAAGGGTGGGGGCGGGGGTGCTGGAGCCTATCCCAGCCGTATTCGGGCATTAGGCGGGGGACACCCTGAACCGGTTGCCAGCCAATTGCAGGGCACATAGAGACGAACAACCATCCATGCTCACACTCACACCTTCAGACAATTTAGAGTGTTCAATAGAATGTTTTTGGAATGTGGGAGGAAACTGGAGTACCCGGAGAAAACCCACGCAGGCCCGGGGAGAACATGTAAACTCCACACAGGGAGGCCAGAGCTGGAATTGAACCCGGTACCTCTGCACTGTGAGGTCGACGACCTAACCACTGGCCCACCAGGCTGCCCCTCGTTGAAGCTTTCAAACAAATTTAGCTTAGCCTAGTAGCCGCTAACATAGCGATGCGTTTGGGATCAAAACAGTCCAGGAAATTTCCCTCTCCGGTCTCCAGCTATTTATTTCACGGTCACACTGGATCAATTTCAAGCCGCTGAATTATTTCGTACCAGTTGGTTTTAAATCATCCAATATTTAATTGAATCAACAACCACAAACAAAATCCGATGAATTCTTGCTAACTGTTGAACATTTTTTTTTTTTTTTTACGATTTACCTATTAGGGATAATAGGCTCATTTTAAGATGGCCGCACAGTGAGTCTCGATGTGTATATTTGGACTAAATTTGAGATGTTTTAAGTTGTCTACTTGATGAATGCAGGCGGATTTTGACCCCGCTTTTTAGTGAGCTAAGAATGTACAGCAATGACTTTAAAACTGCTAACATGTCTCTTTTGTTGTTGTTGTTTTTTTAAGCATCATTTCCTCTCATCCTAGCGCAATTCTTTGATATTTCTGTAAAATGGCTCCCAAGGTGACTTAATACCAAACAATGACCTTATTAAAACAGGCGTCAGCCAGCATCTTTGTCTCTGGGTACGACATCAGAAAATTAACATGTAGGCTTGAGAAACAGGAGGAGGAGGAGGCGATGCTCGTAACGCGTCGAAGGATCTAACATGCCGAAACTAACAACACTTGTAAACGCTCGCTTTGCATTCTCGGATCATCACGTCTTCAAGGATTTGCACGAGGTAGTTGGGACAAAATGTGCAAAATGTGTTGCATCACACCAGACGACCAAACTAAAGGAATGCTGAATGACATGTTTGTTGACTTATGTCATGTCATTGCACTGTTGTGGTTGTTTTTGTACTTTGTTTTAGCCTGAAAGTTGCTTGACATGGAATGGTCGATAAAGACGCAGCTCCAATATTTCTTATTTTCTTGAACGCAACATAAAGGAAGTGGAACGAGCCGGTTGGCGTCAGCCATGCTTTTTTTAAGGGTTAAACTATGTTGATATGAATCACTTTGAAAGCAAATTCAGGTGTCACTGTCATTTTGGTCGACTAATTTAGCAGATTTTACTGTTCCACTTAAGTCCTGCGGGTGTCAGTAGCGACAGTTGCTGACCGTCAAAAAAAAAAGGTGTTAAGACAATCTGTGGACTAGGAAGACAACAAAAAACAAACAAACAAAAAAAAACACACTAACAACACACAACTTGTCTTGATTGTGTGTCGAACTCGTTGCTGAGGCTCAGACTTGAAGCACTTGATGCTAATGTTAGCGCCAGTGTCGGCTCGCTGTAACGTTTCGCATGAAGATGGTAGCGTAGTTATGCTGGCAAAGCTGATCGTTTAATGTCACTTGGGGAAATAGAAAAGTGGAACTACACTGAATAAAAATGGGGTCACGACCTAACTAGCATTTCCGCTAACTTGTTGTTGTTGTTTGTTTGTTCCGCAGCATCCAAGCAACAAGATGGCGGCGTGTACAAGACGCCGGCGTACTCTGGCTACCCTTTCCTCATGCTGCCGGACCCCTACCTTCCCAACGGCTCCGTGTCGCCAACGGTAAGTCTGCGCGCCTCAAAATTTAAAAAAAAAAAAGGTTTTGAGCACGGCTGCCTTCAGAAATTTGTGTTGGGTTAGCCAAAAGAAAAAGATTCTTGCACGTAAAAAAAAAAAAAAAATCCTTGAAAATCGAAAGACGATCACCTCATATCATTTTTATTATCAAAAGTTTTTTTGAATGATTTGGGTTTTCTCTCTCGCTCTCTCTCTCTCTCTCTCTGTTTTTTACACTTAATTTTTAACATATTACATGTAATGAATTGCCTTAAATTATCCGCATTTTACTCTGTTCCTTAATTCCTGAGTACGTATGCATTTAGTTTAATGTTTTGCCTAATTCCTCTTTGAAATTGCATGGATTTAACTTTCATTCTCACTTTTTGCCTTTTAATATTTCTATTTGTATTTTCACAACTTCATCCATTTAAAAAAAATGTGTTGTTTTTAAATATATAGTTTTTAATGTTTCAGTAAATAATGCATTCGGTTTACTCCTTTATTTCCATTTTGCCTAATTCCTCAGCAAAATAGCACAGATGTCACTTATTTTTTTCTTTTTTTTGGCTTGGTTTACATCTGCGGATAGACAATGTCTTAAAAAAAAAAAAGCAAATTATACGTGTCTCTAAACATTTTGTGATTCTTTCGTAATCAGTAGTCATGAGTCATGGACGATCATAATGTCACAAATTTCTAAGATCAAGACGACCCTGCTTGCTTCTGTCTAATTGTGACAAGATTGTTTGATAGTGCGTGTGTGTGTGTTTGTGCGCGCATGCGTATGTGTATGTGTGCGTGCGCGCGCGTTTGTCGTCTAGGAAGTCTGCCGCCGCCGCTAATCGCTAACAAGCGTGCTCTTTGATCTTGTTTGTTTGCGGCCCCGGCTGAGGTCACATGTGACGTTTTGAGCCAACGTTGTTGTTTACGAAGGCTCCAAACGCGACAATCTTTGAGTTGGCTGAGCAAGAACGGGATTGATTTGGAGCGATACGCAATCCCCAAGTGACAATTGACACTGAAAGAGGAAACCGGAGAAACAGTTTGTCCATTAAACCTGATGGGGAGAGGGGCTTCGGTGCCCCAACGGTGCCATTCAGTTTATGCCTATAATCAAATCAGTTGATTACCATCGCCAACTATTGGTCTGGCATGCGCACTGCAGCGCCCTGTTACTTGTAAGGCTGTCGTCGTGTCAACAGGGCCTCGATGTTTTCGTCCAATGTTTCCATGCATCTTCTCCTTGCGTCTGTCCCCTTCGCTTCCCTTTTGTCCAAATAAGATCAAGGGAATGTTGCCCCTCTCCCGTCTTCCTACTTCCTCGTTTCTCTTTTGTAATGCTGCTATGAGGGGGTTCTGGTGACTTCATCTGTCGGTCAACAATAGCAACAATATTGCCAGAGCGCCCCCCCCGCCGAGGTTTTGGGAAATTGAGCTCCCGAAGCCAGTTCCAATTGGCAACGGGAATTTTGGGAGGCATGTCTATCATGAGCACACGCACACAGAAAAAAAAAAAAAAAAGGCTCAAGAAGCCATGCCTGAAAAGACACAGAGAATCAGACACTTTGATTTGACGTGGCCGTTATTGTGAAGCAGTGGCACATATTTTTTAGCCAAATTCAGCATCTCAAGATGGTTTTACTTGGCAGAATGAAATTTGTTACTCCGGTCTATCACGTGTAGACCCGCAAAAAGTCTCAAGCGGCTATGCCAAAAAGCGTACAATTAAGTCTGCTGTTTTTGGTTTGACATACAGTACAGGATTTGGTGAAATTTTGCTTCCAAAGCTTGTTTCACTGACATCATCGTGGAATTTGGTAGGATTGTCTATGAGGAGTTGACCCACCCCAAAAAATTTCCACATACAACCCCCAAAAATGGACACAAATGTCTGCGTTTTACTCGCAAGTTTGAACCTTGTACACTGGGCTGATTGACAACGCTAAATCCATCCATCCATTTTCTGAACCGCTTTATCCTCATAACACTAAATTTCAAAAAACACAAATTTTTGACATCGTGGGTGGGCAGAACATGTCGGTGACGTTTGAGGAAATCCCCTTGAGACCCAAAATTTTTTACCGGAAAAATTCAGCAGCCCCCCCCCAGTCATTTTCACTTGGCAGTTTGCCATTTACGAGGCATGTCTATCATGATGAGACCCACAAAAAAGTCCCAAGAAGCCATGCCCGAAAACTCACAGGAAGTCAGCCATTTTGGTTAGAAGCGACCACCGTATGGACTTTTTCACGCGAATATTGACTATAAAATCATACCTTGACAATGATAATAAGCCCTGGAAGGTAAACACACGTGCATTGTAGATAAGCGAGATGAAGTCGCAAACTCGCGTCGGTTTGACTTTGAAGTGGCGGGTGGCTGAGGCTTTCGACGATCTCGAAGAAGAGAAGGGCGGGGAAAAAAACGTTAAAGGGATATCAAAAGAAAGGGAGGGGGGAGGCCTCCTTTGAGACGGCCCCCGGGTGTTTGTACCTGTAATTATTCATTTTCCGGAAGAAAGGCGGGGCAAACAGGTGTGTGTTGTGAGGAAGTGGCTCTTATTTTTTATACTTTTCCAAAAAAGGGACATAATGATGATGATTAAACAACATTGGTGAAATGTTGGGATCCGGTTTGTTTGTCTGCATGACAGAAACTGGAGAAAAAAACAAAGCAGCTCTATATTATTCTATAAAATATCTAGCATTCATTATATCGAATAGTATCCGACATATAATTGATCATATCCATGCAGATATTAAAAACAGATTTCATTTTTTTTAAATACTTTTTTCACAGGGAAAAAAGTCAGTACTTTTTTTTTAACAAGACCAAACTTAACACTTTATATTTTATTTAAGACATATTGACTATACAGAATGATTCTTTTTTTTTTTTTCATTTTTATGGATTTGTTGACTCAATTACAAAAGGGAAACAAAAAGAAACAAAACCGTTTTTTTTTTGGGGGGGGGGGCAATGTATTTTGATTGATCATCTGTGGCCTCCACACCCAAAACTTCCTCACCCTCATCATCCTCACCCGGGCGCATCATAGTCTCGTTTAAAAATAGTCCATACCACATGGAACTCAAACCTCCTCCTCCTCCTCTTCTTCTTCTTCTTCTTCTTCTTCTTAGTCCTGCTGTTTATCGTCGTCGTCCTCGTCGCTCTCTGCCCACGTGGCCGTCATAGACCAGCCGGAGCCTCGGCGGCCGCATGAAGCGCGCCGCCACACATGGCTGTGATCACGCACGGCCACCCGCCGTCCTCTTTCATCTACCGCCGCGCTCGTTCTTCTCCGTGACACACTAACATATATTGGTTGCGTCCAGAGAACAGGAGCACAAGAGAAAAAAAAAGAATAAGTACATGTCAAGAGCTTGTGAAGCCATGCAGGAGCGAGCAATTGCTATTTTTGTTCTATAAAGTTTTTTTTAAAGTGAGCAAATTCTGGCTATTCTTGGGCCGAGCCGAATCCAACACGAATAGTGGGCGCCGACCGTACAGTAAATAAAGAAATTGTTTTAAATAGACTGGATAGATTGGTCCATCTTCTGATCGGATCGCTTATCGGATTATTTTTTATTTTTTTTTAAACTAGCTGACGGGTGATTGGCTCCAAAATATTAATTGTGCGAATTCTAATTTTGACAATGTCCATAAGTAGGACTTTTCAAAAATCAATTTTTTTTTAAAAAACAGTTTTTAGTACGTTATATAGACTTACATCGAATGATTACGGGTAAACTAAATCGCCAAATAGTGGCCTGGAATCTTTATTACAGCATGTTCAAATGCAAAACTTGTCTAAAGGTTTTTTTTTTTTGTTGTTTTTTTTTTTTAACTACAATACATTATGTCGACATTCTTAATGAATTAATTTGTTTTTGTGCACATGATATCGCCAACTACTGGCCTGGAATGCATTTTCATCCTTTTTTCGGGTGGGTGGTGACAAATTTGGGACAAGATACATCTAATGTTAGTCAACACAACTTTTTTTCTTTTATTTTTTTTACTATGCTCTGTTGACTTTGATCATTTGGGTGTTTGCATGTTGCGGTGGTGAACACTTCTAAATTTGGGACAACGATACATCAAATGTTAGTCAACACAACTTTTTTTTTCCTTTTTTCTTTTTTTTTTTTTTTACTATGCTCTGTTGACTTTGATGATTTGGGTGTTTGCATGTTGCGGTGGTGAACACTTCTAGGGCGGATGAAAAACTGGAGCAACTGTGACGTGCGCTTTATGTTGAGGAGCATTCAAGTGCGGGAGACGAGCGCACGCTAACATTCAGCGGGGCAAACGGCAAGCGAGTAGGCGTTCGAGGAAGCGCTCAACAGACGCGCACAGACGGGAGAAAGTGTCAAAAGAGCAAAAGAGAGTAGGAAGGTGACACCGGAGTACAGTGAGGGTCAGTCAGATGGGAGTCGGAAGTAAACAATCAGAGCGCTAGCAGCTAACCGCAAGTGCGCTACGAGAACAAAAACCACAGCCTCGCTCGAAAGTCACTCCCTGACACCTTTGCAACACCTTTAACTATTTCACCGCCACGCGCGCCAAACAGCAGTACAGCTTGACTTCATATTTTGACTCATAGTCGTGTAGCGCAGTGCTACATCATTCCAAACAGTCATTCGAAAGCAAAGTTGATGTTTATAAGGTAATTCACGTAAAAGTGGTGAATTTATGGTGCTGTTTATAAAGTCATTTCCTTTTCTCAAATGTTGTTATTGGATGAATAACATTGACTACTAAATTTGTTGATGTTTTAATGATTAAAAAGAAAAAAAAAAAAAGTTAGAAATTCGGAGATGCCCCGTGTGGCTCGGGTCACAAATTGCCCTGCCCTATAAATTCTGCCTAGCAACAATCTTCTCAAACATGACCAGAAAAAAAGTCTGTCGGGGAAAAAAAAAAAAGCGATCGCAAAACAATGCATTCAACATTAAAAAAAAGTGTTGTCTGTTTGTCTAGAATGTAGCAGCACTATTAGT